AAGGTCTGGGAGCTGCACAAGACCTGGCAGTTCGAGAAGGGCAAGAAGCCCAAGGCGCTGACCAACGGCTCGGTCGCTGCCAAGAGGGCCGCTGAGGAGGAGGCGACCGCTGGCGGCGGCACTCGCGCTGGCAAGAGGGCGAAGGGGACGCCGTCTACTGCGGAGGAGGAGACGCCTCCGCCGATTGCGAGGGCCAGGGCCAAGGCCAAGCCCAAGCGCGCCGCGGAGAAGGCCCGCGGCTTGGCAGCCTTGAAGGGCAGCGACGAGAGCAAGGCCACCTCCATGAAGAACATCCACGCTGTCCTCAAGGTGCAGGCGACGGACTTGCTTGCCAAAGCAAAGTGCAAGCCCGAGTGGTCGTGGGCTGCCTTGGACACGGCGGAGCTCGAGAAGCGTATCCTCGCCGTCGACACCATCGTGAACGATGACCCCTTCTTCATGGCCTTCTTCTCGGAAGTGAACTACACTGACTTCAAGAAGAAGCAGATCAAGGCCATTGGTAAGGACGCCTACAGCACCCAGTTGGCCAAGTACAGCGCTTTGATCGACGGCCCCATCCTCGCGCTCACGGACCATATGAAGATGATGGAGTCGCAGCAGTTGATGCGCCCGCCTGCCAGCAGGCAGTGACTGCCCGACGTGCGTTGGATACCTGGACGCTGCCGCACTATGTAGACGTGCTGAGACTTGGGGGGACCAGTGCGTCAACGCTGGTGTGCGCGACCAATGAGCCCGAATGCATATCGCAATGCATGCCGCTTTATCTGACCTCCTCCTTCTCCTCCTTCTCCTTCTCCTGGCCTGCCACGCCCTTCAAGTGCTGACTCCCGCTACTCTGCCTGTTCCCTCCCTCCGCTCAGCTGGTTACGGATAGCCTGCAAGCAAGCTGAGACGCACTTGAGGTGCGTCGCTGGGGTATAGATCTCATTTCTACTTATCGTCGCCTCCCTGGGGCCTCGCGCAGAGGTGGTTGATGACAGACAGGTGTTTCGGGATCTGTACGGAAGCTCCAGGGATGCGACGCTGGTCGGTCGCGCAGCGGCGCGTGGCAAATCATCTGGTTTGAAAAATGTGCGCGAGATGTCAGGCATCTTTGGGTGCCACATTTTATCCTGCTGGCCTGCCCAGAGCCCCTGTCAGCCGACCTCTGTTTTGCGAGCCAAGTGTCTGGCAGTGCTTTCCCTATCACGCAACAACTGTGATATCGCACCAAATGTAAGCCATGATTGTGAAAATATCGGATGACATCGATTTCTCACGATTTACGTCGATTTCTCACGATATACCCGCGATGGACTGCGATGGAAGGCGATGGAATCCGATGGATTCCATCGCACCCGTTGGCCTACCAACGCACCCGTTGGTCATACCAACGCACCCGTTGGACATACCAACGCACCCGTTGGACGTCACTCAAAACACCTTCCATCGCACCCGTTGGCATGGCCAACGCACCCGGTGGAATGCCTTTTGCCTTCCATCGCCACCCGGTGGAATCCATCGCCCCCCGAGGCCCCCGATGGAAGGGCGATGGAAGCGGGAACCGCGCTCTTTCTGGAGGAAAAGAGACAGGAATGAGGAGGAGGTGGATGGGGAGAGGGGTGATGGAGGAGGATGAGGAGGAAGAGGAGTAGGATCACGTGAGGAACGAGCGATAGATAGAGCCAGCAGCAGCACGGAACGATGTAGGGAGGTAGAAGCAGCACGCGGAGTGGGAGACGCTTGTGTTCTGTGGTATTGAGCGGCACAGCTGCAAATCAAGAACATCCCGACTCAGATATCGCCGCAAGTATGGCTGTTGTCCTCCTTACTCGTCGCGACCATCCCAATATGTGTCCTCTATCTCCCTCTCGCTCTCCCTCTCCTTCCCTCTCTCTCTCACCCTCTTTCTTTCTTTCTCTTTTTTTTGTTCTCTCTCTCTCTCTCTCCTTGTCTCCGCTGCATCGTCCACTTACCCTTCCCCTTGCTCCTCCCCTTGCTCCTCCCCTGGCACTCCTCTGTCTCGTCCTCCCACATACCCAGTCCCCCTGCCCTCCACCTCCACCGCCCCCGCTGCGTCCGCTCCACTGCGCGGGCCCTGCGGGCGCGCCCGCCCCGCGGCGCCTGCAGTGGCATCTTCGCAGGGCAGTGGGCCCCAGGGGACCTGGCTTGGCAGCGCGAGTGTACGCGTATGCACAACGGACTTGACATCGCCCCCTGCCCTTCTCCCCCCAAGGTGCGCTATGATACAAGCATGTCGTCGAATGTTCGTGCGTGGGGGGGCCTACATACAGATGAACGCGTGCATCGTCGATCGATATCGCTAGCAGTCGCAGCAGTTATTGTTCGAGCAATTGCAGCAATTCGCAAGGACTGCCACGCCCCATGGAAGTTGATTCCTCGAACTCAGGCCTCGAGGACCAGAACGACCGCTGGAGGCAGAATGGAGCCAGTCTGTTGAAACACTTGCTGGGCCTCAAAGCTCAGTGCAAAATCAGTGCGGCAGACCTTGCAATTGCGTGCTACTATGCTCAACATGCGGGAGTGTTGGGCGCCGAGTGGTCTAGGTATTCTTTGGCCCCTGGCCAGCCATCTGGCAACTACCAAAAAAAACTAGACCGCGTTCTCCCTGGACCAGGGCCGCTAACATGGGTAAAAGTTCCTGGAGCCACACCCCACGATGAAAAACGAGTTGTGCACGATGTACCTCTATCATCTATGTGGGAAACGCTGGTTGATGAAATAAACGGTGATCCAAGTATTATTGAGAATGTAGCAGAACGCGATTGGCCACCTATCTGCCACAGACACAAGTACACCCGTATTGCCAAGGCAGCTGGCGAGAGCCCCCCGCTTCCGTTAGCATTATTCTGCGATGGTGTCCGCTACACAAGCGCCGTTGCAGGGAAACCTAGGAGCATCGACGGGATCTGGATCGTTAACCTGGTAACTCAAAAACGACATTGGATTGGGGGGCTCCCAAATTCAACAACGTGTCGGTGCGGGCGCAGGGGGTGGTGTTCACTGTGGCCGATTTTCAATTGCGTTGCATGGATGATAGCACAATTGGGCCAAGGGGAACGAGACGACAGGTATCCCGATGGGAGACCATTCAAAGCAGGGGATCCTTTATATCAAGCAATTCGTGAGCGTGGTAGAAGCCTTGGTTTCAGGTGTTGCGTCATATGGATCAAGGGTGACCTCGCAGAACTTCATCATACTTTGGGCTTTCCCAGCGTTTCGAACGGTGTGCATTTTTGCCCTATGTGTAACGCTACCCAGGAAAATGCGCATTCTAGGTACGAGTCGTGCTCGCTTTTCAACAATCCTTGGGGGTCGAAGACATCGGGGGGGTACCGCGAGGCATGTAGATATTGCACAAAAACAATCACTGTCACGAGCCAAGCAGACTTAATTGAGATTGTGAGAGACGGAAGGTTGGCCCCCATGATCGGCAGGGGCTACTGGGGGCGCACGCTGCAAGTGGGTTTGCCGAGGTTCAATCTCCTGGCAAGGGACCGCATCGAACCGAGCTCGGACGTTCCTGACGTTATGAGTTTAGAGCAGTTGGAACCGACAGTGCATGAGCCACTTCGGTGCATTTTTTGGCGGGCATCGCTTGGCCCAAACAACGCTTTGCTCGATGCAGTTGCGCACGACCACCCGCTCTTCGGAGAGCGGACTGGGCTTACCATCGACAATATTTGCATTGATGTGTTACACACTATCATGTTCGGACCAATCATGCGATTCGTCAGCGCAGCTTTATGGCGCATCTTATTCGCAAACCCCTGGAACCATACCGACGGGAGGGAGGAACAAAGGTTGGAGGCTGGTTGCAAAGACTTGAGGGGGGACCTTATGCAGTGGCAAAAAACGAAAGGGATCCCGAACAACGAAAAGATCAACGATTTCACTCTCAGCATGATGGGGGACAAAAGGGGAGCTGTAAACTCTGAAGAGTATCCGCACCCGGGAACGGGGGTGAGGTTCAAGGCGGCAGAGTGCGGCGTTGCGCTCTTGTGGGCGATACACTTACTGGAAACTTATCGCGACATCCCTTATCATCATGAACTAATGCACGTCGGTTGCAGCTTAGCTGAAACATTGGACACCATTCGGGCATGCGGCATCGCCCCCCCCCCCAACGGAATGTCAATTTCTTCTGGACTCGATGAAAAGAGCAAACGTGTTCTCAGGGCGCTCTGGGATTGGGTACGTACCAAAGCACCATTTCTTTGCCGAGCTGGTCATGAGGTCTGATGGGGGCTAAATGCAACAAGAGGCGTGACCTCTGCTCTCTGCTCTCTGCCCTTCCCTCCTCCCCCCTGCTCCTCCCTCTCCCCCTCCTCCTCTGTCTCCACCCTCTTCACCCTCCTCATCCCCCTGCTCTTCCTCCTCCTCCTCCGGATCCTGATCCTTTTCCCCCTTCGCCTCCCCTTCCCCATTAGTTTCCCTCTCTCTCTCTCTCTCTCTCTCTCTCTCTCCCTCTCTCTCTCTCTCTCTCTCTCTCTCTCTCTCTCTCTCTCTCTCTCTCTCTCTCTCTCTCTCTCTCTCTCTCTCTCTCTCTCTCTCTCTCTCTCTCTCTCTCTCTCTCTCTCTCTCTCCCTCCCACATGTCGCCCTGATCTTCCAGGTCTCTGAGCGCAGTGGAACGCTGGCGGGTCCGGTCCCGTTCCATCGCAAGCCCATCTCCCAAGATGGACGCGAGACGCGATGGAGCAATATTGGCACCCGGTAGCCTTCCGCCGCGCACGGCTGAACTGGAATTGTCTTTCAGCAGAGGCACGCGCGTGCAATCTTCGGGATTTCTGCCCAGGGCCCCTATCCTTGGAAACCCTGTCTGGTACGCGTGCTGGCGGGGCGAATCCCTGAACCAGGTGCTGCGGGTGATCGCAGAGCATTCTAAGCCTCAGACGTTTCACATCAGAATTCATCAATCTTTCAATTTGGTCGGTGCGTTGCGGCTCAATAGCTACGTGCACGGCTCCCCAGACGAGCTAGAGCCAGTCATTTGTACCGATGACGCTGACTTCTAAGGCTCCAAAGTGGATTTCAGATTTGGCGTCCAAGACGCTCAAAGATAGGGACCTCGTTGAGCCACTGGACCCGCTGCTGCTGGTCAACATTGCTATATCTCTCGTGCCGATGTTGGGCGACCCGCCGAAGTCGGTCGCAATGTGCCTATTCTTCTGTGGCCACGCGGGGCCTGCAATGTTCTGGCCCCAGATCAGCCCTCATTTCGACGTTCCTGGCTTAAGCTGGCGCGCGCTCGACTACATTGCAGGGCCCGAGCACGACATGACGACCCTGTGCGGTGTGCTGTTCGGCATGTATTGCATCATGGAGTGCGTACCCGGTGCCCTGTGCTGGTTCTCCCCCGAATGCAACATGCGGTTACAATTCATGAGCAAAGGCACGCGCAAACGCAGCACCGAGGACCCGTTCGGCGACTTGATGTACACATCTGGTTCTAATTCGTGTGCTATTGTGCTGCGCGCGCCCTAGCTTCCCGACTCCCCATGCTTGCTATCTGCCCTCCGTGACCTCAGAAACCTCCAGGTGGACTCGCCGACCGCGAAGCCAGTCTGGTAGTTGAGTCGGCGTCCGATCGGCACGGGGCGGGGAGGGAAATGAAGGGGGGGAGGGAAGGGTGGGAAATGAATGAGGGGAGGGGAGGGGAAGGAGGAAATGAGGGAGGGGAGGAGAGCGGAGGGAGAAGGGGAGGGGACGGATAAGGGGAGGGAGGAGAGGGGAGGGAGAAAGGAACATGAGGGAGGGGAGGGAAATGAGGGAGGGAGTACCCGGGCCCTTCTACCCGCTCTGGTCTGCTGCACGGGGAGGCGCGGCGGATCACGTTGCCTTTCTCTTCCCCCTTATGTTTGGGAAGGAGGACGGGGACGAGGAGGACGAGGCTCCCAGCGCTGCGCCCAAAAGGGGCCCGAGGGGGGCCCGTCTTGGGGGCGAAAAAAGCCCTTGCCCACTAAAGCTTCTTGGTATGCAAAAAAGCTTTAGTGGGCACGAGCGTTTTAGTGGTTTCGTACCGCTCCAGGGGCCCGAGGGGGGCCCGAGGGGTTGTCACGGAAAGGGGCCCTGAGTGAGCCCAGGAAGGGCCCGATGGGGGGCCCGAGGAGGGCAGCGCGCGGCCAGGTCGCCTTCCTCAACAGCCACGCCGTCCTCTTTTCACCGACGTCCTTCCTTTTCCCTCTCCCACCTTCCTTTGCCCTTCTCCCCCCCCTTCCTTTCTCATCCCTCCTCTCTCCTCCCATCCCACCACCTCCACCCTCGGTGCCGTCGCGATCGGACCCGGGAGCCTAGGTCTTTGCTCATCTCAGCGGCGCACTTTCGCGGCATCTTCATTGCTCTGGAGCAGCCCCTCACCAGCTACCTGTTCAAATTCCCGTGTGTCTCACATACTTTGGATTTGGTTGAGGCCCACCGGGTGACTACATGTGTTGCTGCTTGGGGGGGTACCTCAATGAAGCTCTTCGAGGTTTGGTCCACGGTGCCGCACGCCGCGATGACGCACTACATTGCTCGTTCTAAAACAGTGGGGAGGCAGGTCGCGGCGGCAAACCACATTAAGACAATTCAGCTCACCGAGACAGACAGCAGGGGTTGGGTGAACAAAACTAAGCAGCTACATGAGTCCCAGCGCTACCCTCGGATGATGAGCAAGGCCATTGCTGAGCTCTCGTGTTTCTGCGTTCGCTCTTGCTCCGACGGGGGGCCCGATGAGCACCGTGTTTTTTTCCATTTAGGCTGACCTGCCGATAGAAGGATGAGGGCGGAGGGAGGAGAGAAACAACAATGAACATGAGGAGGATGAGGATGACTTTAAAAGCGATGTTCCGTGGTCAACCCACCGATTGCCGTGTCTGGCCGCGCTCTTGTGGGCAATCTACGCGGCGCAATCCAGCGCGCATTTGGCGCAGTGATGTTGGGGGGTATCTCCGATGAAACCTTTCCTACGCCCTTATTCCGACCCCGCTGCGCTTCCGACTTAGTCCTCCTCCTTTTTGGGGGCCGTCTGAGGTCAAGGCCCCACTCCCAGGCCCTCCCACTCCCTCAAATTCCTCCTCCCCCTCCTCCTCCTCCTCCTCCTCCTCCTCCTCCTCCTCCTCCTCGGGGGCCGTCCTAGCACGGGCCTGGCGCAAGCCCATCTTGGCCTCTGCTCGCTCGCTCGGGGGCCGTTTCAAGTCAAACCGTGTCCAGCTATGAGTGCTGAGCCCCCAGAGCCTTGGCCAGAGGCCGCCATCCATTTCTGGCACCACGCGTCTGATGGCTGGAGTATGGCGTGGAGGGCCCCCGACGGAAACATCGAACAGCGCACGATGCACGAGCTGGACCCGAGAGGGAGCAAGAATAGGAGGATAGGAGGATGAAGGACAGGGGGAACGGAGCAGGAGAAAGAGAGAGAGAGAGAGAGAGAAAGGAGGGAGGAACTACCCCAAAGGAAGTGCATCTACTATTTGACCCATGGCCTGGCCCGGTTCGGTTCGGACGGCCCCCGGTGGAAAAATACGAATGGGCCGACGAGCACCGCGGGGCAAGAGTTCCCGAGGTCGCGATTAGAGAGATCCAGAAATTCCACAGAGAGCTCGGCGCGACATGCGCTATCCTGTGGACAACGGATATGGGTGAGAAAAAAGGGATGGAGGAGGAATGGGAAGATGTAAGAGGAGTGGGAAAGAGGGAGGGGTGGAGGGAGGGGGAGGGGAAAAAGGGAACGAAGAGAAACTAAGCATAATAACACATCCCAGGAGGATCTCATATCGGCCCTGCATGCCATCGAGGAGAGCTGAACGCTCTTGCCAACGATGATGCCATGACCGACGACGAATGAGGATGAGGTAGGCCCTGTCGGGTAGGCATCGGGATGACTTGCACGAGGCGGCGGGGCGAAGGGGCCAGGCCTTCCGAGGGGGCGGGGTGCTTATCACAATGCATCGGAGGCTGCTGCCCTGCTTGCGGAGAAAACAGGCGCAGACGTTTCCGATTTAACCGCTCCCTCGGGAGACTGGCCCCATTGCCCCGCCAAGCTCAGACCAGACGCAGCGGCGACATCGGCAGCTGGAAATGCGACCTCTGAGCGACGGAGGGGAGGGAGGGAAATATAGTTTTTTGTTCAAAATGGGGCTCTCGCATCGGCGCCGCGGGCATTCGTCTTTAAAGCTTGAAGCAGCTACGCGGATAAAGGGCGGCTGGTTTTCAAAATGGGGCTCTCGCCTGGGCGCCGCGAACACTCGTCTTGAAAATCTGCAACAGTTGCACGGGTGGAAGGCGGCTGGTTTTCAAAATGGAGCTCTCGCCTTGGCTCCGCGAACATTCGTCTTAAACACGTGCTCGAATTTCACGCGCGGAGGGCATTTCCTTTTCAACATGGGGCTCGCGCCTTCAGAAAATATAGCTTTTCATATACGTAAAAACGCAATGGTTTGACAAACCTGCCATATGTTTTACATTGATGCGCGCGCACAATTCCTCATCAATGTCAGGCCCATGGGGCGCTTGTCAGGCCAGTGGGGCGCCCGTCTTTCAAGGGCGCACGTCCACGCGTGAAGGCGAATATTTGCATGGACATATGAGGAGGGGCGTGGGGCGGGAGGCTGTATAGCAGCATCGCTGATGCGTCCTGGGTTATCTCTGGACCTCCTCCTACTACCCTCATGTAGCCATTTTGGCTCGCTCCTGCCGCGGCGCAGGGCAGGAATGGCTCAAATCTGGAGAACAGGTTCGCGACGTGCGTAGCGCGGACTAAGTTGCATTGATTTTGGCGACATAAAGTCAAACGCGCATGTCGCATGCATGTTCGACACTAACACGAGGATCTGCCCGGAGCCCGGGCCTTGTATCGGAAGCACGATTTCTCCGGGCCTAAGAACAAGGCCCGCCGACCCACAGGGAATTCCCGCAGCGACATGTGTGCGGTTCGCAGCGGGTCCGGGAGCGCTTCGGGCATTTGTCCACGCGTGCCTGCGCGCGTGCAACCACGCGTGGAAGCGTCGCTGACAGCGCTTCAGAAGCGCTTCAGGAGAGCTCCCCAGAGCTCTTCAGGAAAGCTTTCCAGAGTATGCCTCTTTGCTATCCAGTTTTTGGACGCTACCATCCTCTAGCACATCGATGCCGAAGAGCTCTGCGAGGTACTAGCTCCACCCCGCGCCTGAATTCCTCTAAGCTCATCTCGTCGAAGAGCTCTACGAGGTATTCCTCTAGCCCATCATTGCCGACAAGCTTCAAGCGGTATTCCTCAAGCTAATACCTCGTAGAGCTCTTAATACAGAAAAGCTAAAGGAATCCGGGTGCAGGGTGGAACTAGTTGGCCGACCCGACCAGGAAAGAAGATGTGACGACCTGGGCTCGGTTTTGCTAAGATTTGAAAGATATTCAACCCTTCAACCCTTCATTTTGAGAAAGCAAATTTTTGCGCTGAGCATTTGCATATAAGCTTTGTTCTGAGAGCAGCCCAGCTCTCTGGATGCAGTTTTACAATCGGTTGACTTCCGGGAACCGACCTCATTTGAGGGAGTTTCTGTGGAACTCACGTCATCCTCACCCCTGGCGCGAAGAGCACGAGCCCAGAGCGGCCTCCGGCACCGTTTCTAGACGGATCCGCTGGATCCGGTGGATCCGGTGACGAATCCCAAACCGGCGCCCTTGAGACATCCTCACAAAACCGGCCCCGGGGGAGGTGCCCAGAGGAGCCCAGAGCGGCCTCCGGCACCGTTTCCGGACAGATCCGGTGGATCCGGTGACGAATCCCAAACCGGCGCCCTCGCTTGAGACATCCTCACAAAACCGGCCCCGGGGGAGGTGCCCAGAGGAGCCCAGAGCGGCCTCCGGCACCGTTTCCGGACGGATCCGCTGGATCCGGTGGATCCGCCGACGAATCCCAAACCGGCGCCCTCGCTTGAGACATCCTCACAAAACCGGCCCCGGGGGAGGTGCCCAGAGGAGCCCAGAGCGGCCTCCGGCACCGTTTCCGGACGGATCCGCTGGATCCGGTGGATCCGGTGACGAATCCCAAACCGGCGCCCTCGCTTGAGACATCCTCACAAAACCGGCCCCGGGGGAGGTGCCCACCCTGACTCCGGATCCGACGTAATGTGGCCGTTTCCGACGTAACCCTACTATTTTTCCGCCCTACTTTTTGGGTCTCTGATGAATGCGTTTCCGACATAATTTGTCGATGGCTTCCGACATAAAATTATGTCGGTTTCCGACGTAACTTGCGACGGTTTCCGACGTAACTTGCGGCGGTTTCCGACGTAATTTGCGGCGGTTTCCGACGTAACTTGCGACGGTCTTCGGGCCAGCCGACAAGTATCTCGGACACCAACGCAAATTACGTCGGACGCCGATGCAAGTTTCCGACATAATTTGCAACGGATTTTGACGTTAGTGTGTGCAGGCTGAAAAGTAGGTCGGAAACCGTATTAGGTTTCGTCGGGAACCGATTCACATAAGTCGGGAGTCAACGTATTTGGGCTGGAAACATATTCAAGAGA